ATGAATGGAGAACTCAATTTACCAAGTCACCTTTTACAATTCCTAGGTGCAATATCTGGATCGTCTAGACCGGATGTCACGAGAAGTGTCGCGGAAAGAGAATGAATAGTTCCGACGAGAACAAACTCATTTCGTAAACGATTAGCATGGAAGCCCATTTGATTGATTATCGACCTCTTCTCTCGAGGAAAATCATTATTGAAATCATTCTTAGGATGAATCTCATCGAACAATAAAAGAATTAGTTAATTTACTTTAACAGAATCCGATGATTTAAAATTGACACAAATAATAATTTTACTATAAATGACAATAGCGTTAGAGTACTTCATATTGATTTAAAGTTCCATGAAAATAAAATTTTATAAATACTACCAAAGTTTAAAACTAGCGTTGACAAACAATTTCTCATTGTCTTGAATATTACAGAAATGGGGGAAGTTTATCGAACAGCTGTAGCAAAGCAATTTCCCAACAACCATAACAGGAATACTTGATATCATGGAGAACGATACTGTTAACACGACGTTAAAATTTATTGCCGTCTGGGCGGAGATTGATCAAGGGAATCATCCCATGGATTAACGCACACCAACCATGGTACAATAATTCAGAAGCAAACCATGGAAGCCTCAGATTCTACATTGTACATACCGTGTGTCGCCGACTTTCCCGACAGCACCTTGATATGTATTTCAAGCGTCTGGTACCATAATTCTATGGCAACGACTCTAATCTAAAAGCGTGTTAAGAATACTACACAATACGAATACGAATACGAATACGAATACGAATACGAATACAATGTGCACGCATAAGTACCGTGTGTCGCCGACTCTGCGGATAGACTATACGTATGCACTTCCTCGTTGAACAGTGAAACTGTCTTTATTCCGTGTCAAGTCATTACTTCCCTCGTCATTAATTTAATCGTTTAGATGAATTTACGATTCAACAGTCCCGGAAATTCCTGTTCCATCTGTCGCCCGTTGCGTCCGCCCTGTTTGCGCGTCGCGTCGCACGTCTACCCGTTACGCTCGGAAAAGGCAGCAACGTTTAACGTGACACATGATCTAATTAATCCATGTCCTTAGACGTACAATTTGGGAAACGTTGCGGTGAAACGCGTGCAATTAAATTATTTGATTATATTAACTGCCCCCCTCACGTGTGAGAAGGTAAAATTTTCGCCCCTTAATTTGAATTGCGGCACATCGTCAATTTTATTAATTGAAGCCAGCCTTTTGACAGAAACTTTTTCAAGTCAGAGGAACACTTTAATGCAACCTAATATTCGAAAGTAGAGAGGGTACACAGCCTGTCACTGTACTTCTTACTTATCGTTAATGTTAAAGTACTTAGATAACTTCTTGCACAAGGAAAGTTTGCTGAAAGTTGTCTTTGCCCTATTACAAATTGTGCAACAACTTCTTGTATACGTTCTAATTAATTATTTATACAAAGTGCTGCTTTACACGAAGACGACATGCTCAAGGTTTCCCATAAAAATATAATATTTGCAGATTTTAATAATATTTTTACGACATGGTACTAGAGAAAAAATGTTACGACATGGCTCTTCATGGTGTTTAATCAATTATGCAAGTTTATTTTTAAAATATCGCAATAATAATGTGACTCATTTTAAAAATGGAACAAGAATTGAGATTGTAAGAAGGCAAAGAATCTGATGTTTTAAAGAAAAACGTATTAAAATGTTTACTCCGACGGGGGCTGTTACCGTGCATACGTAGCGCGGAGTATAAAGTTGAAATTAAGGCGGATAAGGGAGTTTTCCTACGCTGAAATTGCTCGTTTTCAACTTTTATCGACTGGCCAAACGATAATAACAGGCGCGTATTCAAAGCAGCGGCAATGCCCTTCGCGAAATGCAAACTGTATCCGATAATAATCAGAAAGGTGCTCAACTGCTACGAGATAAGACGAAGAATGTATTCTTCTTTGGTTTAAATATGAAAAATTCAAATTAGAATTAAATTCACCTGAATTCACCTGAAATTATGAAGTGATTCTTTCAAAGGGTGGCTTTGATTTTTCAAGTCCAAAATGACGTCTATAATTAATTGAAAATGGCGTGAAGAAAAAAAAATCTTTTAAATTCAAGCACCGAAATCACTTGTCATTAAAGATCGATGTTGCCCGCTCCCCGAGCAAAGAATAGGAAGGTAGGGGCGCACGTTATTCTATCACTCGTGCTCTCACACGAGCGTTACGACAATCTTTTCCACTTTCTATGTATGTACATACATTGTGCTAACGTACGAGCACCGGTACCGGTACCGGTACATCTACCTGTTCGTCCCATTCGTCAATCTCGTTTGCTCTCGGGCAAAGGCAAAGTGCGCGCAATTATTCTGATACGTTGTTCGCTTTTGGAAACCGTTTGAAGCGCATCGCACAAAATTTACCCTCGTAACATCCGTGGGACACATTCGAAACAAACAATGGCCTTAAAATGTTCTCTTAGGATCATTCAGGTTTATCGAGAGTCTAGACGTGAAAAAAGGGGAAAAATTGCAAAGCGCAGCGCACGATTTTGTCGTCGGAAAAATTTGTCGGAAGAGGCTTGGTATCCGTTTCCAACGTTCGACCGTCGGTTTGTTGTCCTCGTCTGAGTGAGTGTTTTTCTGCCTGATCCTTTGTCCAGGAATGTTTCCATAGGAGGGCATTCAACATTTTGTATACGGGAAAAAACGTAGACTTCGGTCTGAATTATTTTTCGGCCTTTCGCGCGCACAAGTGCTCGTTCGGAACATGCTTTTGACCGTGTACAAAAATAAAAGAAAAAAAGAGAAAAAGAAAAAAAGAAAAAAAGATAAAAAGATAAAAAGAAAAAAAAAGAAGGGAGAAACAAGGGAGGCTTTCGAGCAAACCAAGCGCGATTCGTCTGTTTTCAAGGAGTCATTATTCGTCATTGTGAGCGTAGTTTTCGTCAAACAAGTGACTGTTGCTTGAAAAACGTCGAGGAACGTGAGGCAACCATTTTGATATGCCTAAGGGCCTAAGGGTAGCGTTCGGGATCAAAGGGCATATCGAGTCGCTCAGATATCTCGAGTAGCCGGAGTCGTTGGATTATTTTACAACAGGGTACAAATTAGGCCGGTCACGTTGCGTTCGAGGGCTGCTTCGAAATTCCATTTAACTTAATGCATTTGAAAGTTTTGATTGGCCACTTCAAAGCGACCAACGCCACGGGAATTAATACTCTTCCGTGAAATTTCATCATTAGCGACGGATTTCACCGGTGTAATTTTAATGCACAGCCAACCGATGAATAAACGGATATTCGAAAGTTTCTGTAGTCAGTTAAGACCCTGGATAAAGGTCGATGCAGCTGGTATACTGCATCATTTATGGTGGTTTTAGAATTTAACAAAGCCTTCGATCACCTTTGCAATCCATCAATGCAATCACAATTATAATTACACTAGTGGAATTAATTCTGGACAGGCTCTTGAGGCTCTTTTTTTTTAACATATCTTTGGATGAAATCCACTATAAAAGTCATAAGAAGTGATTTTCTTACACCCTGTGCAAATGAAAGTTAATTTATGCCTTTCAGTAGCACTTACTACTCTAACTGGATCGTTAAATCACGTGGTGTCGATATCATCCGGCTTTTGGGTTTATAGCTATTTTATTGTCTCCGTGGAATTGATTTCTAACCACGGTAAAGGTTTCCTGCCCTCTTCCCACCTTCAGTCAATTCGTCACACTGTTTCTTATCCCTTTTCACCTCGTCACCCGCTCTTTACCCTCCTCCCTCTGAAAAACCGATCGTGTCCCAGGCTCTTTTCGACTTGCTTTTTGTTTGGACGTTCGTTCCCGGCAATAGTTAAGGAGAGCCTTCGGGAAACGACGAGATCCATCCGAAAGTAATATTGGCTATCGATCGACGAAGGAAAAGAAACGGACCTCCTTCCTTCTCTTTTTTTTTTTTAACAATTAATTAAGTTGCTGATCCTACCATATTGGTTTTCGTAGTTCAAGCGAATCTTTATCTTCCGGTTATGGGATATCGAAAGACTGTTTCACTTTCGAATCCTTTTACAGCGGATGATCAAATTATTATGACTAGTTGAATATGGAAAATGAATATTCTCAGAAACGAGGTAACGTGTAAGAAAATTTTCGTTTCACTTCCCCGTGTCTCCAATGGTTATACCATCAGCTATATATAACAGCTTGCATATTTTATAAAAATACATACATGTGTGCATAGGTGACGCAGTCATAGTGAGTTACGAATAAATTCCACGCAGTTGTCACGTAGTATCAGAAGAAAGCCGAAAAGCCGTGAACGGCACGCGACCATCGCTTTCTCAAGCTTTTCGTTTCAATTCCCTTATTCGTAGCAGCGGAACGTCAGAAAACGTTCCGCGTGTCCTTTTCATCTCGATCCAACAACCTAGGCTGCAGAAAGACGCAAGAGTGCATCATTCTGCTCTCTCGATTTTCCCCAATCCTCTTCACCCTCCCATTCCCTTTTATCTTACTTTCCAGGCTCGTCTTCGTGGCTGACGAATCACCTCGTACCTTCCTTTCGCACCCCAGGGAAACACGAAGCTGCCACGAAAGAGGATGTTAAAAAAAAGAAAAAAAAAAAAATGAAAAAGGAAAAAATGAATGACTGAGAGAGAAGCGACTATGAGGCATACATCTTCTTGTTTCCCTGAGTACGAACTGATACGTGTGATACGTGATAACGAAAAGCATCAGTTTCATTGATTTTATTCGAATGGGGGTCGTAAGTGTATAGGGAAATGGGACAAGGATTGTTTTTAACCGACTTCGAAAAAGGAGGAGGTTAGGTTAGGTTAGGTTAGGTTAGAGTATCTGGGTTACTGCGAGGGATTTCAATATTTTTCTGATCGAGTGGAATTTTATGTTAGCGAATAACATGTTTATGTTATGTTATGTTTAAAAATCTAGAAACTTAAAAACATATTTTTATAAATAATTGTTTTCGATTCACTTACCAATTTGAGCCACGCGTTCGTCGTCAATATCTGGTTCTTCTCATCCTGCAAAAACAGAGAAAACAGCAATTAATTCCATCTAAATTCTCCTACAACATTTTTCTTCAATTCTATAATACTTGAATTTATTTTCAGAATTGTTTACAAAAATCAAACATGACCAAGTTTCATACTTTTTGTTTACTTGAAAAATAAACGCGCAGTGTTATCGAAGGACACATGTTTGCAACACGTAGTCCTATGTACTTTTATAAAATCTGGGGAAAAAAGGTGATTGAAGGGGTGGTGGATCCGGAAAATCGTAAAATCCACGTCGAAAACTAAAGAGCCAATAACCGCAAATTGCTGTTACTATCGTTCGTTTTCCAAACGCTTGGTAGGGAACCGCACTCCGCCCCACAGACTCATCAGAACATCAAAGTGATTTATAAAACGTGCACATAGCAAGGATGGTGTCAATGGACAAACCGCTTTGTAAACGTTCACGCTGAACCGATTGGTTACTGTACACTTCTTGCCACGATATCTTTACTGCGAGAATTTCAATTAAAATTTTGCCTATGAATGATTGCAACACGTGGTTTATTTATCGCGAATTCGTCGCGGAAATCGTCTTGTCCACTGTCGTCAACTGCACGTCGGTTTTTACAACCCCGTGCGACCCCCTACCCTTGCCAGTGGAGTCCAAAATATTTTGGAAACATCGCGTCGGCCGATACATCTCTTTATTTTCTACATATACATATAGGGGAGGTGATAAAAGTGTACTGCAAATAGATATTTGGAATTTTGGGAATTTAGAAATTTAAAATTTGAAACATTGAAGTCAGAGGTATTGAGTTTGAAGTATTAATTATTATCAACATAAACTGATATTTGATATTAGAAGAGAGTAGGGATATTGATGCAGCCAGCTGCTACAACACTTGTGTCTACGCTTCAATGTGAAATCGAATTAACGCTCGATTTCCACTTCAAAGTGGAAATCAGATCCAAGGTCGATTTTCCGTTCGGCTCAAAGCGAAATTAGATCGATCGTCGGTGCGTAAAACTTTCCGGTCAAGAAGCACATGCGACAGGGTAACTACTCTGATCAGATATTTCCTCTATTTCAAACAAATTTTAGTTTCTTAAATTTTCATTAATTCTAGTGACGAATAATAATCATTAAAACAACAAAACTAATTATTATTTTAAGAAATGATTTACCACAATTTTCTTTTATTTTTTCATTTTTTCATTTTTACATTTTTATTTTAATCAGGGGAAATCATTTTTTAAACCGGACATTTAAAGAAAGAGAGATAATTTGCGTTACACATTAAATTTCAGTCATAGTAGAAGATGGAAATGTATCCGTTTTACGATGAAAATGATTTCCTGCTTGACACTGTTATGATTAATCGTTATTTAATATGTTTCGTAGCGGAAGAGCGAGCCAGATGATTGAAAATCGATAAGCGATGAAATTATCGAATCAATCATTGCGAAACAAACCCCGTTATAGATGTTCAGGCTAACTAAACTGGTTATTAGATTATTCGAATTAGAATTTTTTGCAATGATATCCTGGGATTTTATCAATTTCTTTTGTTATCCTCAAATCGTAACAAGAGTTTCCTTTTTACGTTTAATGATACTTGTAAGATATGATAATCTAAAAGTATTTAAACAAATATTGCTTTAAAATCTCTTATTCCTTTGTTTATCAATGGAATGATGAATGGGTGAAGCGTGTAACATTCATCAAACCAAAGTACACTGTCATAGATACCTAGACGTAAATTTAAACTGCTTAACATGTATGAAGTACTTTTAAATATTCAAAGCTACTTTACTTTAAACAAAAATCAATATTCCATTATCAGTAACTATTATCTCGAACCATTATCACGATCCTTTGTTTTCCATCGCTGCTGCACTGATAAGACAATAATTCCTGTAAATCTCGGACAACGTACCATGGAGAGAGCCACAATTGTAATTTAATTTTATATTTCGTATCATCTTCGTTTGTTAAATTTCACACTGTCCTTTTAAAAATTATTCTTGTAATATATCAAAACCTTTTCATTAAAAAATCATACATTTAACTTAAGATTAAATAGTTACATATATGGGTGAAAAACATAGAATTGTAAAACATAGAAAACTGATATAATTTGATGACTTGCAAAATTCACATCCTTAAATTCCCAACAGTTGAAATAGAAACAAACCGGAGTTTATCCGTCACTGTCACTAGTCAGTCGCCATTTTAATTGGATATTTCGAGGTAGAACGTAACCCAACTGAATCCGTGACCAAAACAGATAGACGCGCGCCCGTGTAAACTCGTACACAGAATTTCCATTCCCATGCGGATACTTTATACTTGTCTTCGACGGTCAGTCGATCACTTCCGGTCCCATCAGTTCGGGGTTTAAAGTCTGAGAAACGAGTCGGTCATTGTGAGCCGGTGACGTTAAACACGCGATATCGCGTGAAGTTGAAATGGTCATTTAACCTTGAACTTTATTATTATGCGTGTTGGTTATAATGGAAATAGCACAGATGCATTGCTCTTCAAAGGCGGCAGAAAAATGACGGGATGCTTTTTCATCAGCATTGCAATTATAAAATGGTAAAGCAAGGCTCATCATATTAACCGAGCTTTCGTCATTTCGTGTTGGAACGGAATAAAGGGACTGATCAGCGAAATTTAAGTCTCCACTTCACTCCTCTCCTCTCCCTTGAACACGACCTTATTCTTGCCCTGTGACCCCCTTTTTTTTCTATTTCACTTGTTTTTGAAGTTTTCTGATTAAACGCGATTTTAATTCGGAAACTTCGACGTCTGAACGCGGCCGCATTAATGAGGCTGTACTCGGGAAAATTGTAATTTAGCTCGCAATGAAATTTCTTTTGACCCCGTTCGTGGCCGGCCGTGTCGCGTGAAACCGAGCAAATTAAATTTGCCACGCAAATCTTTTTTTCACTTTTCCCTTTTCCCTTTTCCCTTTTGCTTTTGTTCTCCACGGGATGTTTTCGCCCTTTTCTGTAGCAAGAGTCAGCCGGGTTTATCGTCTATCTTCTGTGAGTAATTCTGTATGTATGCATTCTATTAATCTCTTTCACGACAACAGTTGGCACGAAGTAGGGATGAAAGGATTAACTTGAAAATAGTGGGTTGCAGAGTATGTAGGCGTTTAGTGTCTCCGGCGACCGCCAGGTGGCAGCGGGATTGAGTCTGTTCTCGCTGGCGGTCCTTCGGCATACGATTTGGATATACACATATAGCAAGTGAGAAATCCTAAGAATCAAAGATTCAAGTTTCTAACTTTGAAACAGAGTTACTCTGAAATCTCGAGTTCTCCAAGTCTCAAGGTTCAAAGTTCTAATATTTCACAGTTCCAAATTCTCCAAGTCCCCCTAACAATAAGTTTTAAGTTTCAAATGGAAAGTTCTAAATCCTAAGTTTCAAGTTTCAAGTTTCAAATAGAAAGTTCTAAGATCCAATCCTTAGCTATCGAAATTCCAAAGCTATCCTAGAATTCCATTCCCCCGATTGAGAAACACCTTTACAACCTCCTTCCAATTTAATCAACAATCATTCCTATGTGCATGAAAAGAATTACAAATTATCTCCAGCCTCTGCCATTTTCATTTTCTCCCAGGAAAATTGTATTAAAAGATCTACATTGAAAGCATTTTCGTTTCCATTGCCTGCAAACTGTATGTATGTACATACAATAAGACCAGTTTCATGTATACTTACCCACATCATGTGTAAGTATGTATGTACGTATACAGATAAATATCCATCGATGAAAGTATGATATGAAAAATTTCTATCATGACCCTGTGTTTCCTTTCTCCATACACCAACAGTTATCTGCCTGGTATATGAATACTGGCTGTTACCATTCGATCGAATTTCTTTTCTCCCGCATTCATTGCTCGTTTATTCCTGGTTCAACCGTCTGCCTATTGCTTGCCGGGATCGGAACCGAATGAAATAACGTGGACGATGGAAACCCGTAATGATTTCATCGAAATTTTTCCATTCATTCGCGGAGAGCAAAATGAATTTGAAAATAAAGGAACGAAGCAACATTTTCTAAAAATTATCTCCATGGAAAATTACAATTTTCCTTTGCGTGAAAGATAAGAGCCGGGAAGATTAGCTGCGTGAGTTTTTGCACGTGAAAATATCGGTCTTATCTAAATGACAGCACGGTTAAAGAGACTCGGCCAGGGGGTGGAATGAATAGGATGGGCGAAGGAAGGTAAACGAGGCAGATTGCATTACGTTCTCCATCTTGGCTACCCTTGCTTCGACCATTTACTTTATGCACTCTTCCTTTTAACAGCCAGTCGCCATCCTTAGAAATATCCTTGTACTATGTACACCATCCCCCGTTATTATAAGAAACGATACAGGACCTGTCATTAGGTTGTTAATAATTCCCGTAGCAAAAAAAAGCTGAGAAACAGATCGTGGAAACTGGCAGGGATCGTGGAAAATACAGCGACTGCGTCGCGAGCGGAAGTAATCAACGACGGAAAAAGTCGTTCGACTCGAGGAAGCGAAAACACGAGATGCGTCTGCCAGAGACGGTTGAAATAAAAAGAGAAAAGGAAAAAAAAGAAATGCACGAGTGATGATCGTTGAAAAAGTGTGGGGGCAAAACCTGAAATCCAGCTTGAATAATGTGACTTAAAGGAAACGCGAGTTTCCACACCAGCCAACGCAGGAACATCTTGTTTTTGCGCCCCCTGGAGATGTCAGATCGTAGCAACGGGGATAAAGGATAACAGGATGTGTCAAATAATGAGCAAGTTTGGTATTTTGTACTTTCGAATAAAAACAACGTAAACAGGAGACGGTATTGATTAAACTTCGTCAGCTTTCGATGTTGAATTATTTTTCTGGCTATGATAAATGGTGATGAAGTCAAGAGGGATCCTTGGAGATATTGCTGTTATTGGTTCTTTTCTTTTTTTGTTGGCTAATAGCAGTTGCTGAAAGTTGAAACTCCGAAAGTTGAAGTTTTTATCTTTGACACTCTAGAATTTGAAGCTCGGAACTTTAAAACTTTGAAACTTTGGGAATTTTTTAACGCGGAACTTGGGACTTACGATTAATATTTGAGAACTTAGTCGAAAGCCAAAATAATTTTAGTTTCGCTAAAGTGCTTACGATATACATACATACCTATAATGATTATCCGAAAGGCTTTTAAAATTCTTGAAAGGAAAATTCTTCCATTTGGCATTGTTACAGAAACTTACCACGTCTATGATTTGCTGCAACGTGATGCCAAATCGCACTTCGAGAGGCTCGCTTTCGTTGGCAACAGGCCGCTCGAGGGTGTTATATGTCGACAGCAGCGTATTCAATAAACGTTTCTCGTGTTGTCCGCACAGACTCTCTATAACAAAGAATAAATCATGATAATCACCAAGGGAAAGTAATTTCCAAGGGGTGAATCTCTTACAATAAATAGCCATCTAAAATTAGAATCAGTAGATGGGCTGATATATTTTTGAAATAAATAACCTCGGTGTAGCATAAACTTTAAGCAAAAATTCCCTTTATTTCGGTACACCATATACTGGTGCGGATTCAATATATTACAGAGCAACGATAGCTAGTAAGCCGGTGTAATCCCTTGGCAAACCTCCTAAGCCTTGTACATGTGTTCTGGTCCAGGGTCAAATTGAAACTACACCAATTTTTAATCTGAACTGCTGTTGGGTCCTGGAGGAACCCCGTAACAATGAGAACTTGACGTACGATCGCGTGAATACACTTTATTCTGGCAGAGGCTCCCTGAACAACTTCAGAATCCCGCCACGGGTTTGGGGTCAAATGCGGAATGCAACAGGATTGTGTCTGCGAGGAGAATAATGGCGGTAGCCAGCAGCGAATTCGATGCACGTGTGGGATCAGGCGAAATATATTTGTTGAAGAACCAACCCCTTCAGGATTCGCTATTCTTTTCCCTTCTTATTTTTTTATTTCCTGCAAAAATTTTTTCGAACATTCAGAATTCATCTCACTATTTTTATTGAAACGCTATTTTATAGAAAAACATGCTCGTGAAATGTGGGAAAAGTTCTGCAAATTTGAACGGAAGCTACCGAGCTCTTTTTCTTCCGCGTCTACCATTCGCGCCAATATATTGATCTCTCTTGATTTCCTTCGCCCGAGCACATTGGCATTCTACGGTTCCCGGTACCGAACTTTCCTGGAAAATTCAGCTGCCTCCTCCTCTTCCGCCCCCTCCCCCTATCAATCGTGCTGCGAATTTCTTCGTTATGATATTCTCCGGCAACCCTTCTTCGCGTGCCGTGAATTCGTGGCGTATCCGGACTGCATTAACAGCATTTTGATGCAACAAAATTTCGGTGACTCGGAGATTGATTAAATGGAATTCCATTAGAGGCATACCATCGACGACAATTTAATGATACACCATGTTCCCTACGATCCACGACGGCGCTGTCTTATTATCCATCAAGGTAAAAGTGTGCCTATAAATAAAAGGGATGGGATCGATGAATTCTAGGCCGTTCCAACCTTTGGTTGGACCAACGCGTGGTAAGAAGCTTGGCAGCCATGATTACGCTACCGATTCAACAGGAAGTTTTTACAAATCGATGGATAACCAATAAAAAGACACAGGAGTTAAAGGAAATAATTTTTCATAGCTTTTAACCGGAATTCCATGCGAGGACTTTTTTAAAAATGACCTTGACCCAACGATTCAAGGCTAAGCTTTTTCCTCTTAATATTTTATAGCACTCGTTGAGAGGATAGCACAATTTGCCAAACGAACCGTTCCCCGAAAAACTCTCCTGCCCTCCTCCAAAATAACTTCTTTTTACACTCTATGCGTGTAATAATAATCGGTGACTGATCAGTTTCTGACAATTTCGTCACGGCCAGATTTACAAATCACGATTCCTCAGGCTTGACTAACCAGACACCGGATGAGCCTTTTAACAGTTAGCCACAAAGGCAGGCTGAAAGAGGATCGCGATGGTTTCATTCGGATGAACGTTGTCAGCGTCGATTTAGATTAATGAGAATGACTGTGCAAGGGGTTGAAAGACCCCTCAGCTGCATCGAGGGAAGAAGAGTAAGAGTAAGAGGGATGAAAGAATAGAAAAGGGAAAGAAATGTCGCTAACAGTGTGTGTGTGTGTGTGTGTCGGGCGTGAATGGGGGACGGTTTGGTGTCTTTTTCGCAGCTTCCATGTCAACGTTCTTCGCGCCATTGGCGAGGCAACCTGCCTGCGGGAATCGTCCGTATGAATGGTACTTTCATGCCGGAAACTTGCAAATATGAGAGAGTGTGATTATAACCCTAGCCGAATACTCGCGCCCGCTACGATATCGATATACGTAAATTAAAAATGAAGAAAATTTTTGACACCGCGCTTCCCGTTACACACTTATCACCATCCTGTAGCTACACGAGAATGTAACTGATAACAAAGCGTCAGCGAACGCGAATGGGAAAACTTTCTGGCGAAGACAGTTTCACGTTCGAAGCAAAGTTCTCGAGGATACCGAATTAGCACTCGCGACAGTTAATTAACTGGAGGTGGTAATTTACGCCGGCTGATAAGCAGGATAACAGGAATAGTATATTCGAGGTTAAGCTACCGAAACTGCATGACTCGCGGATCACCAGCTTATGAATGCAATTCCACGGAGCTACGGTGTCAATCTACATACATGCGTATCACTGTTCTATTTAGCAAGATCATCAATCGTAATGAAGACCCTACGTCATTTGTGTCAGTCCATTTGATTGCGTCTGCCCAGATTTCCAATTAGGCTGTTAAATAAATTGATGAGCATACAGTGATGAGCATCCGTAGGAAAAATTTTCTAGAAAAGCCTATCCATGCTTGGTACTGTATTCGTATCAGAATTCTTCCTATTCCAGGCTTCCTATTCCCGACCCATAGTTTGCATTTCATTCGAGGAACCAAAATTATAATTGTCCCTTGCCAACTTCTATCGGGGAACGCGAACCATGCTGGTATCACAGTATCCAAGGGATTAGAACTAAACGCTGAGAATGTTTCGAGGTTATAAACCGTGTCTAGTAACAAAGACGAACCCCATGTACGAAACTTGCATAAACTGGTACATTCGTATGGAAGGGTATGCACGACCCTTGAATTTCCAGTTCCTAGTTGACAGTGGTTCTCAAGCGGTGAGATCATTTTTTATTAAATAAACTTTGAAGCGTCATTGTACAGAATTTGTATGTACATCATTAAGGCCGATTACTCGCATTATTGTCAACGCTCTTCAACTAGTTTCCCAGAAGGAAAAGCTTGTTGAGTGTAGCTTGTTCAATTTACGTTTGTTAACGACGCGCATAAGTTGTCGCACACGTACATACATACATACAAACAACGACGATGTAGAGTATCGATGAGAAAATGTAATTTGTTCGTCGGAGAAGAGAGAAAAGCTTCATTGATCCAACGAACCTCACTCCACTCTATGTCGTAACTTTGATCATGCTGTAAACAGAATATCCTATCGACTGGTGTGCTCTTCGAACTTCCATTTGTATCTGTATCTGTGACAGTTCTAACTTAACGCTACGTTATGTTTACTTCGTGTACAGTACTTGAAGTGCACCTTTAACTTCCACGGTTTCTTGCAAATATTGACTCTTTTAGAATTCTATTTGCGGGGAACTTGTGACGAATACAGGGCTGCAGTTGCAAGGATATCAGACTACTACTGACGTTGTCATGGGTCATTTACAACCCGACGAATTTCATTTGGTTAAATAATGCTTTATCTGGGTTCTCTTCAAAGCAATCTTTGACAATTTTTTGGAAGAGAACCATGAGGTACCTATATGGAAAATCTGTTATAGCCATTTCGTTGGCCATGCTTCAACGTAGACGGAAATATTTTTCGATTTATATCATTTGACAGTAATTACTTTTTAATGGGGTGTCTGAACAGAGCTGCAATGAGGTAATTGTATCTCTGCCATTTTGTTGACTATAGAAAATCCAAAAATAATCCCATAGAGCCTGAGATACGTACAACAAAACGTATACATATAATGGATCTTTTAATGACTATTTTTCAAAAGAAAAAAAAAAAAAAGAAATTGTCAAAACACCGTGAATTTTCAGGTTTAATGTAACATCGAAACTTTTTTATTATAACTCTCTGTCAGGCGGACAGTATTATTTAAAACATTCGATTCGTAAAATATAAATGTATGAAAACTCATTCGGCAAGTTTTCGTTGCACTGTAAACAAGGCGGCAGAAAAGTTGGCAGCTGAGAACCGAAAGCAGAGGAGCAGGCCACGTTTCTGCGTGTACCAAGTGACCACGTACAGTAGTTGTGCGGTCATGAAAACGCGATGCTACGTCACCAGGAAGGTATCCAACGAACGGTAATTCGGCTTCCCAACCGGACTAATCAAAAGCCTTAATTGGGTTTCTGCCAGCAGAGATCCGACGCGACGCGACGCGACGCGACGTGTAGGCCCGATTTGTCCGGGTGCGGGCGTATGGATTTTCCCGCGATTTCATCGGAAATTCGATTATTCTGACTCGATAGAGGTGACGCCATTATTATTCCTATAGTGACATCGAACCTTTTATTTTATGCATCTAATTTCCATGGAATGCATTGCAGGTGAAAATTGTCATCTTATTCGACACGTTAACGACTTATCGATATTTTCCCTGAAAATAGAACTTGATGCAATTTCACATTCACGTGGAGGATATTAATTCTTTCTTTTTTTCCGAGGGATACTACGTTTGTATGCAGAGAGAATATCCGGGCAAAGGCACAGATGGAACTTCTCATTTCCATGAGAAACTTTGAAATCGAAGTTCGCCGCGTGCGATATGAATTCCGACATTAGCCTGAGAATATAGATACGTTAAATGATTTCTCGATCTGGAATTTGATATTCGAAAATGGCGATAATTTTTCAAGATGGTCAATTTTCAAAACTGAACTGAAAAGATGAATATCGTGTATCCGTAAAGCCCGTGTTCCTCGGAGCTTGCGATATATGGAAATCAGGAAGGTGTCCTTCGGGAATCATTCGAGCGGTAATGTTAGAATTGATCTCCGATGCGTGGGATATGGAAGTGGTTCGCAGACGTGCCAGTATATCGGAATACAAGGGTTTATGATCGTCGCGTGTTGGCACGTTGCCCGTAAATCGGTGCGACCTGGTCGCTACCCCGACGCTATCCCTATCCCAGACACCTGAAGGAGCTTCCGCACGAGTGATTGCGAAACTTTCATCCTTGGACTCTATGCACTCGTCTTTTCAAGTGACCTAACTGATATTGTACTCGCGGATATAAGTGCCAGGGCAGGAAAGAAAAGCGTAGCTCACGTCAGAATGCTCATTC